TTATTTTTTTTGAATTTTTACATTTTTTTGAATTTTAATAATTTTTTAAATTTTATTTTTTTTGAATTTTAATATTTTTTAAATTTTAATATTTTTTTGAATTTTTATTTTCCCATTTAAGAGACAAGCAGTCAACAAAACACCCCAAGACATCTCACTTAACAAATTCTCTAAACAATTTTATTTTTCTAGTGTGGGAAAAATTAGAAGAGACAGAAATAAAACTTTTTTATTACGCAAATTTAAAACCTCAACAGCACAAAACTACAAAGCAAATTCATTTTTATTCAATACAAGCATTACACTTGATGATTTCATCTTGACGATAAGATATTTATTTGAAGTTGTTTGTCACACGAAAAAAAAATAAATGAATGAAAATTATTTTTTTCGAGCTTTTAACTGCATAAACACATTTTATAGTGTATAGCAATAAAAGATATTGCCTCTTAATGTAAGTACTTACTGTATGTAAATTTTTCTCAGTGCAATAAAAAATAAAGTTTTTAAGTTTGTTTAATTTTTTTGAGGTTATCTTGATCCTTGTGAGAGTTTTAGATTGATTTTAAACTACTTAAGCTTAAATCTTAGCTTGAGAATCCAACATGTGCATACCTTCCATACCTGACCCAACCAAAATAAAACAATTATTCACAAGGGTTTCGCAATTAACAGCTTCAAATGAATTGCGGCAGTGTCGCAAGTGTAAAAAGAATTGCAGAGGCAGAAAAATGAGAAATAGCTGCAAAATGCATTTGTTCTTGCACTTTTTAAAGCAATCTACACATGTGCGGACATAATAATGCAATAGTTTTCAACCATATTGATTAATTTTTACAAAATATATTTACATTCTGTCATGTGACTTACAAATGCCGCTACAATGTATGCAAGAAATTATGGAAATTTTTAAAACTTGTGTTAAAGCTATTAGCTTGAGTAGGGAAGGCTCTACATGCCATCAGGTTGATTTTTCCAAATTAAGACAGTCTTAAAAAAATCAGATATGATTGACTCAAAACCTGCATTTAAAAGCCACAACTTCATGTCCCAAGAGTAATTTTACCCTTTTTTAATTGACAAGGTGACAAATCGCTATCTAAATTGCAGAAAAAATATTTAAAAATTCCAAGCATGTTAAAGGAATTACGGCAATTTATTTGATGGTAGCAAATATGTGTCAGCAAACATTTTATTTTTTGCTTTACGTAAAACTTCTTTTATGGGTTACTGGATGCAAAAAGTTCATTAAAGTGTATTAATGTCACTCAGTTGTAAGACTGCACTGTGGATTATTATTTTTCCTACAATGTGGATTGTTATGTAAAGTTATTAATGGAATTAAGGGTTATGAAAATGCAGAAAGTACATTTTTTGCATTCTTTAAATTTTATTACAATTTTTTGGAATTAAAGTTTTGGTGGGAAATATTTTTTTATGGCTGAAATGTGTGTCAGGAGCAGTTTTTATAGGATATTAAGCTTTATTGCCTTGTCATTTTTTTAAAGAAATTTTGAAAAAATAATCTTGAAATTCTGAGGTTTCAGAGGAGCTTATCGTATGTTTATTAAGGCCCTAACCTCCCCAAACGTCAATTAGACAGAACAAAAGAATCTAGAGCAATTTTTGGATGTCTCTAAAGCTAAATGCTCGCAATAATTCACTAAATAAATATCAAAAAGATAATCTCAACCTCACCACATTAAAATGCAGTAAATCTCTTTGTAGCCTCACAAATCCCAACAAATTTTCCCATCGTAAAAACTTCCACGACCACGAGTCTTTGACCTTCATTCACAAAATAGAAATAAAAACAAACTTTTACTTTCATTGCTGAATTAACAAACAATTTCGTTTTCATTGATGATCATTATCAGCGATTAGCTTCTAGCTAAAGCCTACCCACGTTTCTATGTACAATTGTTGTGACTACATAAAAGAACATAAAGCAGGCAGAAGAAACATCGATAAAACCTTTTGGACCATTGAAGATGTTTGCTCACCGCCTGTAGATTTTTATGACATTACCATGTATAAATTACAAATTAATGCTTGTCAGCATTAATGTTGTTATTTGATGATGCTAATTTTGACTTAATAAACTTTCTCAATTAACAAGTTTCCATCTTTAAATGGCCATTATTGGATATTTTTTACTTAAAGTAAACTTTTTTGACATTGACATGAGTGAGAGAAAAAGACATTATCAAACTGTCAACTGCATGCTTTCGCTGGAAGCTGCAAAACAGCATATTTTAGTGTCACTTGATGGAAGGAAAGTGTAAGTGTTGATGCTGTTTGTCTGGTTATTATTAGAGCAACCAGTTGCTTGCCATAACTTAGTGCATATTAGTACAGACTGATAGGAGTCTGCTATACGCAATTGTGGACCCTCAGGACCCTCTTGACTACGTCCTTGGTTTTTAACAGCCTTTTGAATCTCTAAGAGTTTATTTTGTATAGCAGTTCCAGTAAATGCGTCTAGTCCAACCCATAAACACCTCCAATACCTCACTACTGCTCGTTTTCAGTGTTGTGATACCAAAAATAGTCATTCCATGATCTCCAGTTCTCTTACTCTTTTCTTCTATTGCATAAAGTCATGTAGCATATTATTTACTTAGTCAGCTAGTTAATTTCCCCATTTCTACTCAACTCTCTCAGCTTTTTCTCATGTCAAATTGTGTATATTGCAATTGTGGATTCGGTAATGGTTACATTCATTCATTTACCGACCACCCAAAAGATGAATGTAATTAAAATATTTCTTTTGCTTTGGTCATTTTCGGTCTCTTTTTAAAATGGGGGGTATTCAGTCATTTTAATAAATAAGATAATGAGCACACACATAATTTTTGTGTGTACACACGATCATGACATCATCGGACGTTTAATTGATTTTGACTGGATGATGAAAGTTTTTTCTCTTCCTTTAACATTCGTGTCGGGTCTTCTTTTGTGAGAGAATTGGTATCTTTTGATGCGGAAAGATGATCAGGCACGTGTAAATTTATATTTTAAATTCTTAATAATTTTAAGCATCTAGAGCTTACAGTTAAGCCACTGCTGATCAACGTACTCAATGCAACTAGCTTGTTGTCATGTAGGACGACTCAAGAACCTCAATCTCTAGCAAGATCACATAACATTTAATTAAAACAAGTCTAGAGACATTCAGTTACTTAATAATTCTCACTTTCAAGCCCCAAACCAAACATTAACAATCTCGTCTAATTGATTGATTTGCATTAAAATAAAGCAAAAATTGTGAAATGCAAAACGTGATGCGATTTAATGCACAAAATGAGAAGCTAAAATTTATCTCTCAATTTCTTCTTTCTATTTCGTCCAAATTAAATTGTTACATTTGCATCATGATCTGCTCCCAATATTCTGATGATGCAGCAGTAACAATTGTCTGCAGACGGGTGATTCAATAAATTACTGACATTTAATGTCATTGCTGTTTACTACTGTTATGCACATTTCAGTTTATTTTCATATGCAATTGGAAATAGAAGAAGTAAAATCATTAAGATGAAAATTTTTTCTCATATTTGATTTCACTTTCGACATGCTTCTGTGGCTACTGCTGCATGCTGTCGTTTCTGATGCATGTTGTACTTTTGTTACAATTGCTCGTGATCAGCAAGTCAAGCAAAAATTTTCATATTCATTATTTTTTTTGCTGCTGCTGCTGCAGTGACCGGAGCATTCAATGAAGAAATTTAAGGAGAGTTTTTAATGTGATTGGTTTTGTCAGTCAGTATGGAGAGTGACATACGGCCTTCCCTTGTGAGATTTTTTGTGATTTTCTTCAGAGTTATGCTTGACGATAGGAGAACTTATCAGAGTTTGAAGACTTGAATAGATTATTTTGTAGATCCTAAAATATTAAAAAATTCCAGACATACTTCAACATTTTCTGACAAACTTACCACAATACAGCGTCCATATTCAAATTGGACGAATTGTAAACTGTCACATATTGAGCAAGAGACAATGCGAAACGTAATTTAAATTTCCTTTAATTTTGAATATGAAAATGAATGTAATACAAAACCAGAAGAAGTAAATAAGTAGCGGCTACTGTTTTTATTTTTATGTTCCAATAAGGAAATTCAAATTAACAAGGAGATAAATTGCATAAGTTTCATTTAAGTCCAAGTGGACTAAGAATACTTAGTAATGTTGAGCAATGTAGGTGGTCAAATTATGTTGAAGCTTTCTAGGAAATGGCTAGTATTTTGACAATATCTACTAATTGTTAATTGAAGCAAAATGATTTTGAACTTTGAATCCCGTGATAAGCTTTAAAGTAAATAAATCAAAATTATATTAAATTTCAAATCCTTAATGTGAATCTGGCCACATGTCTCTCTAGCTTATCAATTTATTAGTGTTTGTTTATTGTTGTCGAGTTCATGATTTTTTTAAAATTTCGCTAAATTATTTAATTTTAATGGTTTTAGCTATTTAAAATATTCAGAGAATATTATTGCTTTAAATTATAGGGATTGTAATAAAAGTGTCACGAAACTTTGTAATAAAGCCGATTTTTTTCGATATTTATTTTTTCAACCGAATAATGGATTTAAAATTTAAAAATGAATTTTGTAGAGTTATTACTGGTTGACATCAAGCTTTGAAGTCACCAGGCCTGGATTTAGAACTCTTCGTTAGTCACAGTCAAATTTTATTCAAACCTCAAAGAGTGGTCCAGCGGATAAGGAATCCCGAAATCCTCACAAGAACCGACTCTAGATTATAATATGCTAACGCTCATAACAACTCCCTTGAACTTAAATTTACTGAATCAATTTTATTCCGATAAATCCCAGAATTACAATGCTCAAGTCTAGACCAATGACTTAAAGATTGATTTTAAAATTACATGCTACAATCAGTAATGACACAACAATTTAAATATAGTTTAATACTTTGAATAAATCAAAAAAATATCAATTTGGCATCACTTTGGAGCTGGCTTTTGAAACATCATGAAGGTTTCAAATTTCCTCCGTGATTTAAAGGAATGGATAAGACGAAACAACAATCGAGTCTTTGATATTACTCAAAGAAATCATGAAATTGATATCAACGTCTTTGTGGAATTTCCTGCAAAAATCTTCAAAGTTACTCAACTTGATTTTGATCATCTTAAAGGCTCGGAAAGCTTCTCAGTAAGAATGAAAAAGTTGGCGATTTTCATCTTCAATATCTGCAATATTTTAACATATAGTGCATTAGTTATAATTGTTTTATTGAAGTCACACGAAGTTGTGTTTGGAATATCACTTGCTCTGACATTCATGATGATTGTTGTCAGGTATACATCGTACTTTTTCAGTCGTTTTGAAATCGCTGGGATTTTGGAATCTTTAAGAAAGAATTATCTAAGTGAGAGGACATACGTAGCTATCCTCAAAAAATATCTTGACGAATACAAAAGATTTGAGCACTGGTACTCAATGAGTGTCCCAGCTCCATTCACATTATCATTTTTGGATACTTTTGTTCGTTACATGTTCTTAAACGAAAGGATTTTTTCACCAAAAATGTATTTTCCTTTCGATGCAGCACATCCAGTGATTTATCCATTCGTAATTTCTTGGGTGTACATGGCTGAAATAATCATATCAATTTTGAACTTTTCTGACTTAACCTTATTGTTTGGAATACTTGCATGCATCTCAATGAGATTTGAGGTCCTTGCTGAGAAGTTAAAGGATCTTAAAATCATTGCTGACAAAAATTTATTAAGAGAAATCATCAGGCAATTAAATGAAGAACATATCATGCTTTTGGACATCACATCCAAAATGAATAAAATTTTCTCGCTCTCATTTTTCTTCAGCCTTATAATGAGCAGCGTCTCGATGTGCTTTTTAGCATTTGAAGCATCAATTTCAGACAGAATTGATCATGTCTTTTTTTATTCCAACTTTATAGCACTGACATTATTCACAATGTTTCTGCAGTGCTATTATGGACAAAAAGTTATGGATACAAGCTCAAAAATTGCTTATGGTGTCATCGAATGTGGATGGGAAGGCATGACAGACAATAAGATGAAAAAGGATTTATTGTTCATTATGATGCGAGCACAGAAAAAGACAAAATTGACTGTTCTTAGTTTTGGTTTCTTTTGAGTTGTATGGATCGGTGAGTATTAAATAATTGGGAACTAAATGGAGGTGCTTGGATTTTTTAAAGATGTGATTCTTGGAGTTGCTGGAAACTGCTATGAATATTTTTTATCTTTCTCTTCCAGATTTTGTCGAGATCTTACTCATTTTTCACAATTTGTAGGCAGCTTTATTTTGGTTTTTAAACTATGGGTACTCAATTTAAGAACAACCCTGCAAAAAACGCATATTTAAGAACGGAACCCTACAAAAATGCAAATCTTAAAAATCCTATTAGCTTAATTGTTTACAGCACTAAAGTAGTGAAATAAAACTTTTATGTTAATATTTGAAATAAGCCTTTACACATTTTTGGACCAACAAAGTGATTTTCTTCATCAAAAATTCAAAGTCAAATTACACCAAACTTTAGTATAAGTTTCAAAGTTGAAAATAAATTTGATGAAAAAATTTCGATTTAGTTCTAGTGAGGTTCCAGCCCAAATATGTCATTGAGATTAGCTTTGAATAATTGTAAACCAAAAAATAGTAATAATGTGAAATTATTTAACAAGATCATACCGACAAATATCGACACATTCGTTGCATTTCCTGTAGCTTTGTTCAAGATCATTGAGTTAAAATTTGAAATATCTAAAGTTCCTGAAACAAGAAGTCAAAGTTTTAAAAAATTTGCAGTTTTCATGATTAATGTGTTTAATGCAGTTCTAGTCAGTGCTTTAATAACAATTGTTCTAATTCGTTCCTATAATGTTATATTCGGAATAGCCTTTTCCTTATCATTTATGATGATTATTGCTCGCTACACGACATTCTTCATTTACCGATCAGAAATAGCAGAGATTTTAGAAATTTTTAGAAAATCATTCAATTCTGAAGAAAAGTATGCAGGAACCTTACAAAATTATCTCAAGCGTGTAAAAATAATTCAATGTGGCTATGCTGTTTTTGTTCCAACTCCACTGGTCCTCTCAGCTATTAAAGTTTTCTTAAAATACATTTTATTTAATGAGCGTCAATTTGATCCAAAGATTTACTTTCCATTTGATGCAACTCGGCCAGAAGTCTATCCATTTGCCTTGTTTTGGGTATATTGGTCTAAAACAACGTCGGAACTGATCAATATTGCAGATATGGGGATGTTGTTTGGAATGCTGTCATTTATTCTAGCAAGATTTGATATTTTGGGTCAAAAATTTCAAAACCTTAAAGGAATTCGTGACAAATCACATTTTAAGACAAAACTTTTGGAACTAAGAGTAGAACATGAACTTCTGTTGAAGCTGACAGCTCAAATGGACAAGATTTTTTCACCATCGTTTTTCTTCAGCATCGTCATGAGCTCATATTCGATCTGTTTCCTAGCATTTGAAGCTTCAATCGCTGAAAATATTGATCATGTAATCTTTTACTCAAGTTTTGCAGCTGTTTTGTGCTTTACGATGTTCCTGCAGTGTCTTTATGGACAGAAAATTAAAATCATGAGTGAAAAAGTTGCTCAATGTGTTTATGAGTGCGGATGGGAACAAATCAGTGACTTTAAAATGAGAAAGGATTTAATTTTTATTATAAAACGAGCTCAAAAGCCTGCAACCTTTACAATTTTAAATTTTGGGGAGGTTACACTTGAGCAGTACGGAAAGGTAAAATAATTCTTAATTCCTTTTTAAATAAAATAAATTCTAGTATTTTTGTTAAAGATGCTGTCGACGGCTTATTCCTATTTTGCAATCTGTCGGCAGCTTTATTCTAATAATTAATTAATAATACTTCTTAGACATTCAAATCCTGAAAATTTTAAAACAACAATCTACAAAATGTGAAATTGACATGTGTTTTGGAAATAAAATTGAAAAGGATCCGAAAGAAGCCTGAGAAAGTCTTTACATGAAATATAAATTATGTAAAAATAAAGAATAATTTTGAGCTTTTATAGCCAGTTCAATAACTTTAATCGGTGTTATTTTAAAATAAAATATTCATGTCGAAATAAAATGAAAAAAATATTCTTCAAATATCATCATTAGTTTAAAGTTATTTGCTGCTTAAACATGATTTTAAGAGTGCTGCTTGATTATTTTAAAATAAAAGTATGGAATTTGATTAGGTTATCTAGTAGGATTGGATTCATAGATGTTGATTCGTTCATTTCATTTCCACTGAAACTATTTGATCTCATAAACTTGGAATTTGAAATCGACAAAAGTTCCGGACCTTAAGTTCAAAATAGTTTAAATGCTGCCTAATTCAATCCTTTAATCTATTTAATACTGTGGTGGTCAGTGCATTAGTGGCTACTGCTTTTGTAAGGTTGCACAAAATTTTATTTGGAATTGCTGTTTTGCTGTCATTCTTGATGATCTCTGCACGCTTTTCTGCTTCAAAAATAGCTGAAATCCTGAGAATTTTGAAGGATCTGCATCGTTGAGGTTGACTATTTTGGATTTTGGAGATGTTTTACTCGAGCAGTATGGAATTTTTTTTCTAAGACCAGCTAAAGAACTAAAATTCATACTAATATATGTATTTTAGATATTGTCAAGAGCATTTTATTATTTTGTAGTTTGTCAACAGCTGTATTTCAAAAATTAAGGAAAAATTTGTTATCATGAACCAAGTAGTGTCACTTTTCGATACATTTACAAATTGTAATGTAAAAGGAATGAATTGCATTTAAAAATAATTCAATAAGCAATCAAAAATGCATAAGCATAAGGCGATAAAGTCAAATAAATTATTAAGCAACAGTTTTATGGCAAATAAATGTTTTCTTTGAAAAGTTCACATTAATTTCAAAACAATATTATTGTAAAAAATTGTGAAAAAAAATCAAAATATTTTATTTTCAAAGTTTTATAAAGTTTTGGTAAAAAATATTCATTTTAAATAACGATCGAAAATAATTTAAAACAGCAATCAAGAAGAAAAAAAATCTCAAGTGGGCAACAAAGTTTGATTTATTAGCAACAGATGGCGACACCTATTCCGAATCATGTTGAAAAAATTCAATTTACATTGAAATATTTTTCAAAAAAAGATTGAAAAATTTTAATAATTTAAAAATATTTATTAGAGTTGAAAAGTGGAAATTTAAGAACAAAAAAAATAATGCCGAAAAGTTTATATTTTAAATAAGAATGAACAAAAAAAATGAAATAAAGCTTTTAGAAAAAGTTATAAAAAATATTTTATTTTTAAAAAAATAGAAAAAAAGTTCAAGTTTCAAATTCCTAAAAAGTAAGGATTTCTATTCAAACGTATTGCAAGGTTTTATTGATTATTCACAAAATAAAATCCATGATGCATGAAAATCATTTATTAAGTTCGCGAATACATCATTGTAGATTTAGTTCTCGATTTTATGTAAAAAAGAAATTTCGCGAAAAAAATGCTAGTTTTCCTTTCTACATTCATAGTAGCTGTCTGTTCAAATAGGTGTAGGAATGTAGATTTAAAATCTTTTTTAGCTGAATTTTCAGGGAAAGTTAAAACATTTGTGAATGAATAATTTCATAAAAATATTAATATTTTTTAATTTTAAATACTTTTGAAAATTTTGGTATTTTTGGCGATATTAAAATTGGCTTTTGACTATTAAATGTCGATGCCCTGTCGATCCTAATTCTGGCTTGAATCTTAAGTCAAGAGAATTAACCAAGTCGATCGTTGCATCGACAAATGCGCTTTAACCATCCCAAAAATTTCAATAAATATTTTTTCATCAATTTACTTTATTCTAGGTAGATATAATACAACTATAGAAATTCATATATTTAAAAAATATAGAGTACAGCACATACAACACACATTTTTTTTTATTTCCATACATCAAAAATACAAAGAGTTGAGTTTTGGATTTGATGTTGCATATCCATATATTTGCAAAGAACAACGACGTTGTCGACGACGGTGGAAAAAAAAATTATCAAAAAAGGAATGAATGACTATGTGAGAGAGTAGCATGGATGCACGTATGTGTAAAATAAAAAATAGGCTCTCGTAAACCATTTTTTTGCTATACATTTTTTTTGTTCATCCTGTAGTTGTTTCACTTTGCACACAGAAGGCGAAAACTTTTTTTTTCATATTTTAAAACGACGAATTGAGATGGAAATGGAACAACAAGAGTTAAAAAGAATGAACATGGAGGGAAATTCTTTTTTTCTACATTATAATTTTTTTACATAAAAAACAGAACTGCATGTAGGGAGAAATACAAAAATAAACGTGGATATCGTGTTGAAATTCACTTGGTAACCAGGGATTTGTTGATGCTTATTTGCAGATCAAATTGGATGCTTCTCTATGCATTACAGCAGCAAATTAGTCTCATTTTCATTTTTTTATGCTGGATAAAGCACTTTTCTATATTGTTTCTGTGTGAGGAATTGAAAATTTACATTTTTTATTTGAATAATGATGATGATGGATGAAGGATATGAAAGAGGAATTTTGCTGCGCAATTTTTAAATATTTTTTAATTGTTCGTTTCTTTTTTACAATTTTTTTTTTGTAGCTGGACATAATTTTTTTTGCCAATGAAATCACGTTTTTCACCTAAACATGTGGAGTTGATTCTGATTTGTTGAATAATTTTGTGAATATCATAACTAATTGCTTAAGAGTTCTACTTCTATGAGTTTTTTCTTTTAGCAGTAATTTTCATGCTGTCTATTAATTGAAGATGTTCTGAATTGGATGGGAATAGGTTGCATATTATCAGGTAAAGTGTAAGAATTCTGGCAAGATTGATTAGCATGTCTCTACATTTTAGATGCTTATAGAACTTCAATATGAAGCATTCTCTATCAAAGCTAATGGATGTACAACTTCAGGTCATTTAAAATATTTGTTTTTGAATACCTGATTTTTTTGGGTATTCAATTGATCCTTTCTTTAAAAAATAGTCATCCAATCTGCATGGTTTTGTAGGACTTTAAGCATTTAAGCCACTCCATTAATAAAGGACTGTTAAGAATTGAGTCCTCCAATATTTTGAGCTTTAAATTACAATTTATAATGTCACTCCACATCTTGCAACCTATCATCTAAATTGTCTTCTAAATCTTCACCACCACCATTAGTTTAAGCCCCTTAAAAATTGCTTTAAAATCCCGCATATTGATTGTTTTCCAATTCCTTCCTCAAAAAACTCCACAAAACATGCTCAAAAGTCCTTCATCAGAAAAACTTAAAAAATTCATCATTTCCATTCATTTTATATGCAAACATCTAAATCTCATCATCCATATTACTCTGCAAAAAAACGCCGTCATTGAAAACAGAGGAAAAAAATTGCTGTGCACAATAACAGCAACAACAGCAGTATACACATGCTGGACACACAATTTGCCCAGCAGCAAAACCTATCCAATTCTTCTGCATCGTACACCACCACCATCGTCATCGTAAAAGAATCGCAAAAGGATGAAAAAAAAAATTGCCTCGCATTTTGCTGTTGCTGTTTTCTGTTCTCCCCGCGAAAAAAACAGCAGTAGCATCAGCTCGAGAAGAAAAAAAAAATACTGCGAAACATTTCGCGGAGAAAATTTTTTCGTATCAATAATTCAACAAAGGGAAGGTGCTGGTTTTGAAAAATTTATACAGAATAAAAAAAATCTTCATCAAAGTGCTGCTGTTGCTGTTTCAGAAAACCTTTTTACTGCAGTAATATTCAGCAGGAATAAATAAATAAAGTAGCAAAAAAAGGAGTAGAAAGCCTTTGACATGACTTACTAAATGTTTAATTTTTGTGTCCTTTGCATATTTAAAGCACTTTTTAGCTTAAACAACTGAATTATGATGATGATGATGATGCTGAAGAAAATTATTATTATTATAGCCGTACCTTTCCACCTCCTCACTTCTCTCTTTACTTTATTTTTATTTTTTTCGGTATATGTCGCTATATCCACTGCCTTTCCCTAATTGCATGCTATATCTCTTGTTCATTCCATTTCTACACACTTTTCTGTGTGCAATACTAATAGAAAATTTTCTAGATTTAAAAAGCGATTTATTTTTGGGGAAAAAGAGGCTGTAAATGTCCACTTGACTTGTTATTTTGCAATTTTAGGTGCTCATAGATCACTTGTGGTTATCTTTATTTTTGTAATAAAATGTGAATAGTGCGGATATAATTAGCGTAGTACAACAAAGAATTACTGACGAATGACTGCTGTATTGAGCATCTCCTGACTATTAACTGCTTTAGCTATTTAAATTTTATCAGAACTCAAGTGGATTTAATGTCAGCAAAAGGAGCCGGGGTTCCAGAATCCAAAGGTATGTACCTCCCATAGTAATAGATTCTTAGACCCGACTATAACTCTACAAACTCTCAAGATCATTAAAATGCGTCACATAACCACTTACCTCAAATTTATATTTTTTTGCAATTTGCCATTGCGTCGAATACGACTAAAAAAAATCATCTCACTGCCTTTTCTAGTTCTAGAGTCGGCTAGAAAATATATCTACATATTTATATCGCAGTCTACGATGTTATGCATTTAGCAATATAATATATAGCAAATGGCAAATAGAAGGCACAGCAAGTGTGTGGGGTAGGAAGTTATGAAAAGAAAAAGGCAACAGCAGCAGAAGCAGAAAAATCATTTATTGCGAAAAAGGCATCAAGCGTAGAGCACAA